ATAACAAAAATCGTTTTCGCAATCGTTTTTTTTTTGGGGGGTATATTTCTTTAATTTAAACTTGCCGCCCACATTATAACTCAAACAAAAATAATACAAAAACGCCTCTATATTAAAACAAACCGTGAAAAAAACATGGAAGCCGTATAATGAATTTGCGGGCGTCCGTTTTGTGATCGAGAATATTAACCGGAATTTGGTGGTGTGCGGATTATCGAGCGCATGTTGAAAAAATCGTAAAAGGGTTGCGGACGAAGAATTAAGAAATGACGATAAGGCCATTGACAATCCAAAATGTTATCAAAATAGAAGTTCGGGGAACCGTTTAGGGGGGTGCGCCGATGAAAATGAATTCCAATTCCGGATAAAAATCCGAGCAAATTTTGGATCTACATTACCTTGTAGAATAATTGCCAAATGTATATGCGTTTCGTTCCATGATAATATACACCAATGTCCGGATGAATTTACACTCCCCGATTAATATATACACCAAATTCAAAATCAATATCGACAAATTTCCGGATCAATATAGAAATATCCCGATACCAATATGTAATGTTATTTTCGTTATTTGAATTTTTCAGATCAACTACATATGCCATTCTATATACATTTGTATCTCTGTTTGTATATATATATGTACAACCATACGTCACACATACACATGTGCGAAATATTCAAATTTAAATGTATGTGTAGGTACATTTATGTTTTGTGTGTATACATATAGATGTATACATGTGTATGTATGTATGTATGTATATATATATATATATATATATATATATGTGTATGTTTTTGTGTATCTATGTTGTCTTTGAATGTTTGCGTCTCATTATCTCTATGTGTGCTCTGTTTTTGCGCGTATTTCTGTGTCTCCGTGTGTCTCTATGTGCTCTGTGTTTTTCTGTCTTCGTGCGTCTTTGTGTCTGTGTTTGTTTCTTTGTGTCTTTGTGTGTGAATTTGTGTGTGCCTGTGTGTGTCTGTATTTTTGCGTGTGTCTGTGTTTGTTTCTGTTTGTGTTTGTCTGTGTGTATTTGTGTGTCTGTATCTCTCTGTGTTTGTCAAAATCTTTGTCTGGGCGTGCCTGCGTGTGTTTTTCATTTATTTTCCTTCTTTTTTCTCTTTCTCTCGTTGTTTTTCCCTCTTTTCACCTTTTATTGCACCACTCGAATTCAATATCAAAATACACCCGTCTTAGCGAATTCTCAGCACCGTCCATGGTAATTGCTATAATTTTGCGGCAAATTTCAGGACCACCCGAACACAATTATTTATTTTTAAAGGTGTCCGGAAATTTATATATTATTTGTTTTTCTGTGGCTGATTGGAGAATCCGCGGATCCGCCAGTGACTATGGGCAACGCACCACTGAGGCTGAGGCTGAGGCCCCCAGCGCCGCCAGGGACTATGGGAATGCACCACTGAGGCTGAGGCTGAGGCCCCCAGCGCCGCCAATGACTATGGGAAGCGCACCACTGAGGCTGATGTTGCGGCCCCCAACGCCGCCAGTGACTATAAGGAATCTACCACTGAGGCTGATGCTGCGGCCCCCAGCGCCACCAATGACTATGGGGAATCCACCGCTGAGGCTGCGGCTGAGGCTGCGGCTGAGGCAGGCTGAATCTGAGGTTGAGGCAGGCTCAAGCTGAGGCTGAGGCTGAGGTTGAGGCTGAGGCTGATGCAGGCTGAGCCTGAGGTTGAGGCAGGCTCAAGCTGAGGCTGAGGCTGAGGCTGAGGTTGAGGCTGAGGCTGCGATTGCGACTGCGACTGCGATTACACCAGAATTCTACAACAAAATTCCTACATGAATCTCAAAAAAATGCCTCCAGATATGCTTCTACACATCGCTGTTAGGTTGCTTTGCCGGGATAATTTTCTTATATTTTCTGGGTTTTTGTCTTCCCCCCCACTTCCCATATTTTCCTTCCCAATATTTTCCTAGGAATCGACGATTAATTGTTCCTGTGTGTTTTTTCCCCTCCTGATCCTCGTCCGGGGGCGCATCCGTGCCATGCTGTGCCCCAGCCCCCCCTGGGCGCGAAGTCTGGAGCCCGTCCAGGCATCCGAGCTGAGAGGGGCAACGGCCTCCTCACCCCAAAGCGGCCCCCTCGTTGGGGAGGGGGGGGCCTCCATCACACCAGGGGGGCCCGGAGCAGGTCGGGCTCGCCAAGCGCTCTCGGCCGCGCACTTTTTCGATCCGCGGGCTCTCCTCCTCCTTTTCCTTTTCCTCCTCCTCCTCCTCCTCCTCCTCGAACATAAGCTGGCCGCGCGCAGCTTCAATTACAGAGGGGGACAGGCAGAAGGAGGGGCCTCACGTCAAGGCCAGTCTCTCGCGCGTTAGATGAAATATGTATGATTATACGAATCGGTAAGCTTGTCATAGCCGCAATGATCATCATGATCTACTTTTTTCTTTCGCGCCGGGTTTTCTGAATACGGGGTGTGTGAATTTCTGATCAATGGCGCGTTTGAGTAGGATAAATTGTGATGATGCATACAAAAGCCGGAGAGAAACATGGATATGAAAACCGGTATGCGTACATACAAATGGATGCAGGATAATAGCATCAGTGGATGCGGAAACCGTTGCTTGAATCCTATCACCTTCTGGGCGTAAATGAAATTACGATATCACTTCTTTCCTCACCAAAAAAAATCCTTCATCCCCTTCGCTGATCGGTTTGATTACTCACCTCTAATCTCTTGCATTTTTTGACAACCAGTTGATTGGAGAACCTTGCCTCGTTCAAAATGACTTCAAAAATGCTTCCGACGCTTCGACATGGCTTCCACAATGGATCAACTCGACATGCTCAAACAAATCCCAAATGGCCACACAAAACGGTGTCTAATGCTTCTGGCGATCCTTCAAACCCATTTGCTTTTGGGACCCTCTTCGCAAATCTAAGCGCTCAAGCACCCCTTGAGCTTCCGGGCGTCTAGGCACTTCTTGGGGATTTGCTGAAGCGCTATGTTATTATCGTCTGCCAGAAAAATGCGCCCGATTGCGGTCTGGAAGTACCTTGCACAATCGCAGTATTTCGATAACCAATTCATAATTAATGCACTGCATTGTCACTGCCAGATTCGTTTGTACATTCTGATCCGGACTGCATTCCCAAATAAATCCGGCATGTAATGTCAATGCAAAGGTTCGACTTGTTGGTAATATTATTGTACTCAAGGCAATATAATCCCTCCAGGTTTCGCAATGGTGAACATTCTGCAAATACATGTCATTGTCGTCAACAGCGGCCATATAGAACATATTGTGCAGCTCCAGGCGTACGCCACGGAAATCATTCACTAGAAAAAACTATATTCGGGCGACGATTCTGAAAATACCGCTGTAGACATCCCCTGGGGGAGCGCGGACATGGCTACGACACGTGCGTTTCCACCTGATCCTTTTTCGATTCTAACGACCCAGCGGAATCGGCATTCTCTTATATCGGTCAGCAAGGATGCGAAAAAAAACTGTTGATTTTGGATTACGGAGAAAACCTACTACGCTTCCCCAAAACATCAGTCAACACATATATGTATACATATATGTACATGTATGTATGTATGTATGTATGTATGTATGTATGTATATATATATATATATATATATATATATATATGTATAATAGAACCACTGGAACAGCCGATAACAATGATTGAGCGGCGGGGGCGTCGAAACTCTGAAGAAGCTGGCCGCAGCTTGATTCTTATCAATACAACAAGCCTGCCGCGAATGCCAGTTTCGCTGAAACAATGTGAATAGATCGCGGGGTGGGTCGCGGGTGGTTCGCGGGTGGTTCGCGGATGGGTCGCGGGTGGGGTGCGCGGGTGGGTCGTAGGTTGGGCGCGGGTGGGTCGCGGGGTGGATCGCGGGTGGGTCGTGGGTGGGTCGGCGGGTCGCGGTGATGGTCGCGGTTGGGTGGTGGGCGGGCCGCGGGGGGGACGACACAACAAAACAACAAACATAATCGTAGCCGTAGATCCGCGCACCCAGAGATCAGTGAATGACGGTTCGCCCCCCTCACCCTGATAATATCGAACAGAAAATGCGATTATAATTGCACGTGTTCGTTTCCACGAAGATTTTGCGCTCGTTTTCGCATTTCCGCTACAAGAGAGAATGCTCTTGATGCAATCTTGCAAGCGAAGGTGCTGACAAAATACGCATACGAAGTACTTGTGCAGTGAATCGTTGGGAGATTTTCAAAGCCAAAAATACAAAGAGGCATAAAAAGGCAATGTTACATTTAACCATCCTCCTCCTCCCCGTTGACCTCTCTCCGCATCCCACCTCGGCTTTCAGAGTCTTCGCCAAAAACGGTAAAACATCGAAGCTCGGAGCCTAAGAATCCACGGGGAACTTCTTCTCCGACCCCCGAAAACGAATCAGTCGGAAATCCAATTCTGAACCCCGAAATCATACGATCGTATTCCCAAAAAACTCCAATCGTGAAGAACACAATTTCTCAGAAATCCATCAAAGCGAGCATTCTCTGCCCCCCGGCTTCCCCCGATCCCGGGAAAACGCATTCCCGAGGAGTCCCATTTCTGCGGCATTCCGGGGCCCCGGTTTCCTGGTGTTTTTGGCCACAGAAGCTGGCGTGGGTGGATACCGAAACTGGTGTCGATGGATACGGAAACCAATTTTGGTGGGTACGGCAACGGGTATGGGTGGATACAGAAACCGGCGTGGATGGATACGGAGACCAGAGTGGGTGGGACGAGGAGAATTACGCAGACAAGGACGAAGGATGTGAACGAGAACGAGAGGACGAGGAGGAGAAGGATGAGGGGGAGGAGGGGGAGGAGGGATGATGATGATGATGATGATGATGATGATGATGATGATGATGATGATGATGATGATGATGATGATGATGATGATGATGATGATGATGATGATGCTGATGATAATGATGATGATGCTGATGATGATGATGATGATGATGACAATGCTGATGCTGATGATGCTGAGGAGGGGGAGGAGGAGGAGGAGGAGGAGGAGGAGGAGGAGGAGGAGCAGCAGCAACGCAACATCGGGGCAATGCCGAGCCAATCCAAGAAAATGGTGTATAATGTATAGTAGTGCCAGTGCCCGTCGCTGGCGTCGAGCCTTACCGGCATGGTGGTCAGGCGCGCGGCGTGCAGGCCCAGCCTGCTACAGACATCGTGCGGGCGTCGAACGAGCATCGAAACGGCCCGCCATTCGGGCGGCCCGCCGCCAGGGACCCCAAGGGCAAATTCCAGCAGAGGTCTTGCTTGGTAGTTGCAAGTTCCTGTCTTCACCTCTGCTTGAGATTCCCCATGTCTGCACGGCATGCCTATTCAGAAGATTCCCGTGCACCCGTCAGCGAGCTACCTTAGAGTCCGAGGGAGCGCCAGTACTCATCAGTCGAAGAGGCCAAGCGCCGAGAGGAAGGGAGGGTGGCAGGCAGCGTCTCGCCGCGCACGAAATAAATCGGGGTCAGGCTGCTGGACAAGGCTTCGCTCGGCTGGGTCACTGCAAGGCGTCCAACCACATTGATACCTCGTCCTCCAGCCATCCCGGCGGCGCGGGGCCCGCGTGCCTGGTTACGACTCTTTTGTTCAGGAAGGTTCAACTGACGACTTCGCGTAGTTCCTAGAAAAGGGGCGGCGACGATGATCTTGGCCACGTTCTCGTCGTGGGTCTTCTCCACCCGGATGGCCTGGATCACGAGATCCATGTCCAGCTTGCTGACGGTGGGCGCGATCCCTTCCATCGGTGGCTGCACTTTGTCCATGTGCGCGTTGATCTCGGCCTTCGCCTTCCCCCCCACGTCGCTCTCCAGGAGCCCCTCCAGGAAGGCCACCGCCATGCCCGCCGCCGGGGATCCGACCTTCTTGGGAGCATCGCCTCCCTGCTCGCGACCGAGACTACTGCTTTGAACGCCTCGAACCCGGCCTGCAAGCTCTTCGCGGCGGGGTGCGTCCCAGGCGCCGTGAACGTGTCGATCACCCTGCTGGACGTCAGCCTCTGGCGCTGAGCCGTTTGAAGGCTCAGCAAAGACTCCATCAACTCGCGTAGGCTGGCGTCCTTCAGGGACCATGTCTTCTCCGTATGGATGCCTTTGCGGTTGTGGCGCTTGCCCCCGCGGCGGGTCTTCTCAGTCTTGCCCTTGCCCGTGTCCTTGAGGGTCTGCTCCATGTTGACGTCCTCGTCCTTGGCGGCCTGCTGCTTCTCGTCCGTTCTGCTGGCCTTCTGCGGAGGTGCCTCCGACGCCGCCCTTCTGGCTCTTCCGTTGCTCACTGACAGCGCTGCCAGAATTCCCGGACTTCTGGGGGTGCGCCGGCGGGGGCAGCCTCCCCTGCGCTCTTGACGCTCTCTGCTGCCCCTGCTCCTCTGGGGTCGCCGCTGCCGCCGTCGTCGCGTCGGACGGGTCGTGCCAAAGTGGCGGTGCTACTGCTGGGCGAGCCGCAGGTCCGATTGATGTAGCAGCTGTCCCGGCGGTCGTCCCGGTCGCTTGCGAGCGGGGCGGGGGGGGGCGAGGTCGCTCGTCGAGCGGGCTGGCGATCGCCTGGTCGTTGATGGGCTCGCAGGCGGTAGCGCTGGTCCCAGTGCGCCTGCCGTAGGCGAGTTCGAACTTCTGAGGTATCCTCTGGTCGCCACTGCCTGCTGGGCGGTGGCGGCGGCGGAACCAGGCCACTCGCGCGCGCGCTCGGGCTGTGGGCGGGCGCCGTGCGCGCTCTGTCTTGAGCCAGGGGCCCGTCGGAGTCGGGGGGGCGTGGGATGCCAAGTGCCGTCGAAGCCCCTCGGGGGTGGGATAATACTCTTTGCGTGCCAGATCGTCACACCACTTAGCCATGGGACATCGTGTAAGTTCCCACGGTATCCAGGTGTAGGAATGCCGTGTCACTTGGGGCCTGCACCGCCCTGACTTCCATGCCCGTACATGGTGCCGTCTCGCATGGTCCACGAAAGTGAACGCAGTTTGGCAACTCGCAAGCTGCTGTCGACACAAATCTGCGAGAAGATAGGCGGGGTCCCGTGTCTCGGCAAAGTCGTAGCATGTATCTGATGCTTCACAAACTCTCGGAGCGTCGCAAACCGTGCTCGGCAGCCTTCGAGGCCGCAGACCAGAGGGTGGGATTATTCCTCTTCGCTGTCGGTTTCCCCCATCCTTGTGTTATTTGGTAGGAGGTCCAGGAACTGCTCGGGTGGGGCCCATTCGTTCCCGTGGATGGTCGAACGGAAAACACTAACGTCAATGACCGTGAACGCCTGGACAGCATCTGGGTCCTCGAAGAATCGGCCCATCGCGGGTGGGTCCCAAGCCTCTCGGAAATCCTCCCCCATGGGGTGAGCTGCAAGTGTCTGTGAATCCCGTCGGAATTGATGGGCCCAGGGATGCACGTTTCTATCTGGATTCAGCTCGCCGCTGGCCAGCAAGGTGCGCACCGGGGCAGGCCCTGCGTCCTCTCTTGCACGTATTTTAGAGTCGCACTCGCCAGAGAAAGCGCGCAGGAAGTGGCGATTCTGCCAATTGTGCTGCACGATCGATCTCCACCACGGGTGCTGTCCTCTTTCTCCTGGTGTGCCTTCCCCTGGGACATACATACATCGTAGCTTCTGGACAATGTTGTATTTAGCGCATCAAGTTCTACCTTGCTCAGTACGTAGGAATCCAGACCAGACCAGACCGCCCCTGCCACATTGGCCAAGAAACTCATCCTCTTGCATCTCCACGGGCCTGGGGCACAAACAAAGTGCGAGAAATTAGTCCAACCGGCACATCCGGCGCGTATTCTAGCCTTGATTTCCCTCTTGTTGCTTCCATCCACACGTATGTAACCCCCCAGATGCAGCGTGTCCGTCAGCACACGTCCCGCTTCCACACTTTCAGCAAACTTGGTATCGCGGCTCGTGGCAAGATGGACCACTACCTCCTGTTTCTGCACATGCTGAGCATACCACTCCTCGCGTAGATGCCGATTCAGCGTAGCATTGTCTGCGGGGTCCAAGCTGACTGCCTGCCTCGCCGACCCGTCCGGTACTATCAGCACGCGAACAAGATCGCCCACGAAACCTCCGAAGGCCAAGTCCTCCTTCGCCCCCCCCTCCCCCGTCGTCGCCGTCGGACTGCGGGCAAACAACGCATCCCCCACAATAGTGTTCACTTCTCTCTGCCACATCTCGACCGACAGGTAAAACGAATCCATGAAAGGCTCGGGTTCATTGGAGTCCCCCATCCGCCCTCCCGTCCCAGGGTGCATCGTCACAAAACCGTCGCGCGCCTCATAGTACATGGTTCCCGGTGATGGGTGGGTAGTGCATCGTAGCGATCGTCAACCCCTCTGGCTCTGCGTGCGTTGCGTGGCCGCTCGTAGGACCCCGTGCCGAAGGCACTCCGCAGATCGCGCGGCTTCACCAGATCGTGCAAGCTGCATCGGCGCAATTTCCATAGAAGCAGCTCCGCAATCGTCATGAGTCCCTCGAGCCGCCGTCGTCGCATCCCCCCCGCATGCCCAACCAGGAGGGGCGCAGGGGGTCCCGTAGTCCACCAGGCCCACCCGGAGTAGGAGGCGTCACCAATGGCAGAGGCAGTGCAACAGTCGGAGGCAAGTCGCTATGTTCTGCACCGCGTCCCCCCTGAGGTAGGAACAAGGGCAGGCGACACCAACACCCACAGGGCGAGGAGAGGCGCGGAGGCCGGGGGGGTCTCCCTGGTGGTGTGGTCCCCCCTCTCGCTCGAGGCATCCCCAGCCTCCCGCTCGGAGAGGCACTGTGGGCCTCCTCGCTGGAGGTGGGCCCCCTGGTGGTGCTGGTATCGCTCCTCCTCCCTCCGAGTAAGGCCTTGCCAGATTTTCCCGCCGCCATCGCGCGGCTGACCTGGGCCTGCTGCGGAAGGCGGCTCCGCGCGCGGCTGTGGGCGAGCAGAGCAGCACGGTCAGGGCCCGAGTGCCTCTGCCGGCACGCTCGCAATCTCTGTGGCGAGCCTGCGCCGCTGCGGGCGGGGGGCCCAGGCCTCGGAATTCCAGGGGCCGGGGCTCGGGCGCGCGAGGCGCGCGGCCCGGCCCTTCCCGCGGGGGTCCCGGGCGGGCGAGTCGAGTGGCTTCGCGGCGCGCTGCCGATGAACGGCGAAGATGGCGCAGGAAGGAGATGCAAGCCCTGCCACAAGTTCGCGTGGTGTGGGGATGCAGGTGCGGAGCGCCGAGATCGGCTCCCCGGCGAGCCGTTGTGAGCCCGCGGCTTGCCTCATCCACAGCTGGAGCCGACGTGTCCGTGGGGTACACCTCTCGAGTGGGGCGTCCTCCTCCCGCGGCGCGAGAAGTCTTGCGCGCATGATTCCAAGACGACCCTGCTCCGTGTTGGTCATCCAGCGCCCCTGTGATGCTCAGCCCCGCCCGTCGGTCCCGCCCCTGCCATTCAGCACGCGCCGAAACCAACCCGCGCGCCGTCCACCTTCCCCGCGCCTCGCTCCAGGCAGCCGCATTCTACCACCCCCCCGCGATCCCCCCGTGCTCATTCACCAGACTGGAGTGCGCCCATTTCGAAGCTTTTCGAGCGGGGCGCGGCCAACGAAAGCGGCGAAGGATGGATCGAGGAGGCAAGGATGCAAAAGTACCCTTGGGAAGGTTGCCCATCCTTACCATGCGGGTCGACTGTATCCCGGAGTCACGGCTCATTCTTCTCCCCACCGTCGCCCTCCCCCAGCTGCGCTCTGCCACATCCACCGACATCAGCCCTCTGCGGTGAGCTTCCTGAGAGCGCCCTGGAAGCTCTGGGAGCGCCCTGGAAACACCCCGGAGCGCCCTGGGAGCGCCCCAGGAGGGCTGGAGCCGCCTTGGGAGCCCTGGGAGCGCCTGGGGGGGTCATGTGATGGCATAGGGATGCCCCTCCTCCTCCTCCTCCTCCGCCTCCTCCTCCTCCTCGTCACTCCTCCTCCTCCTCCTCCTCCTCTTCCTCCTCGTCCTCCTCCTCCTCCTCCTGCTCCTCCTCCTCCTTCTCCTCCTCCTCCTCCTCCTCCTCCATCCTCCATCCCATCCTCCTCCTCCTCCTCCTCCTCCTCCTCCTCCTCCTCCTCCTCTCTCCTCCTCCCTCCTCCGGAAGCGACCCAGGTCGTCGTGGGACGAGGCAGGGATCGCCCCTCCGCGCGCGCGCTTTTGGAGGGGGGGGGGGGGCGCTCGCCGCTGCAGCCGCGAGCGCGCGGCGCTGACGGGCACGAGCCGTCCGAGGATCGGTCGGGGCCCTCCGCGCGCGCCGCGCTGCGGGCCGACGGCACCTCGGAGGCGCGGCCCTGCGCTGCGCGCCGAGGCAGCTGCTGCGCACTGCAGCCGTGGCGCTGCCAGAAGGAACGCCAAGCAGGGAACGGAGGGGCTTTCCTGGCCACGGCGAGCCTCGGCCACGAACACCTGGACGGAAGGAACACCTCCTCCTCTTCCTCCTTTTTCCTCCTCCTCCTCCGCCCCCTCCTCCTCCTCCTCCCCCTCCTCCTCCTCCCTCCTCCTCCGCCTCCTCCTCCTCCGCCTCCTCCTCCTCCTCCTCCTCCTCCTCCTCCTCCACATCATCATCAGCATCATCACAACCATGGCTCGGCCACGGACAAGTTCCCCGACCTGGGCGGAAGGAAACGTCCCGAAAACCCGATCCCCTCCTGCGCCCAGAGCGAACCTTGCGTCAGCGCCCTGGCTGCTCGTCGCGCAGAGGCCTGCACGGGGCGACGCAGGCACCGAGGCCGAGGGGCCCGTGCTGAAGAGAGAAGGGTCGTCACCGGGTCCTCGTGACGCTCGATCTGGGGGGTGCGGCGAGTTCTCTCCGCGATGACGTGGGCATTGGCCTCTTGGCACCGCGTGGATGGCTCGACCTCGCGCAGTCGATCCTCTTCGGCTTGAGCAGGGACCGACCGTCCCGGCATTCCTATAGTCCTACCACGAAATGTTCTTGGAACCCCAAAATCTTCTAAGAACAAAAACAATGTTCTTAGAACATAAGCCCGATGTGTTAAAACAAAACAGTCCCAGCCAGAAATGTTCTAAGAACATTCCGTGGAAACCTCAAAAGGTTCTCAGAACATTGTTTGGTGGGGCTATAGGCGAGCCAGGACGCTTCGCCACTGCTTGATCGGCAACCGAGGTCGCTCAGTGCCGGCTGGGTTCAGACAGCTGGCGGAGTTCAGCTCGAAGGCCTGCGCTGGCGTCGCCGCCACGTCAACAGGGCGCGAGCCTGTCGCAGGCCGTCTCTAGCGACCACGGTGGCTCAACTACCGCCGTCGGCTGCTGCTGCTCGATGTGGCCTTGCGCTCAGGCTCGGGCTCAGGCTGGCCGGCGGCTGCCATCGAGGCCTGCCTCTGCAGGGGCGAGCTCCGCCGCTGCGTGGCCTCGGCGCGGAGGGAGGCGACGGAGCAAGAGCACCACGGAGCCGCGCCGCCGCCGCCGCCGCCGCCGCCGCCGACGACGACGACGACGACGACTTCGACGCCGACAACGACGACGACGCCGACGCCGACGACGACGCACGCCGACACCGACGACGAAGCCGACGACGACGTCGTCGTCGACGACGAAGACGTCGACGACGCCGACGACGGACCATACGAATGTTTGGCCGATGCGGAGCGAGCCTTCCCCGGCTGGTGTTGAGACCACCCCGAACAAAGAGTTCTACAATCGCGGCAGATTGGAGAGGACACGCGAGAGGACACAAGACCCTTTCGAGGGCCACATTGCCATCATAATGCGGAAGGCATGGGTCTCGAAACACAGGACGCAAGGGTACCCTTGATTCGGCAGGGGGTCGACCTACTAATCAACCCCAGGTGTAACAAACGAAACGGAGAAGAAGGGCCGCGGTGAGTGCCAAGTGGTGCCACAAAACTGGCAGGGCCCCACTTTTGAGACCATCTTGTGACAACCTGGGCAATCTTGAAGCCAATCTTGGGCCAGGCCCCCCCGAGCGCAATACCTGCTGGTTCTTTCGATACGCCCCCCCAAGCTCTCGACTCCTTCCTGGCGATCGGATCCTAATCCTGGAGAGCAGTTGGATGGTTCTGTGGCCTCGGAGCGGCACTAACAGATGCCGAAGCAGACGACCAGCCGCATGCCAGGCCAGCATCGAAGAAAGAACGAGGGGTACATGAACATCGGCCCAAAGACTTATCCTCGGGTGCGCTTTAGCCAGGATTCCTTCGGCAATGAAGCCGCAATCGCGAGGGCGCCCAAGATGCCCAGAAAATGACCGGAAGCGCCCCAAAAATCTCGGAAGCCGAAGTCGAGCAACCACCGCCAGCACCGAAACAAATCGCGGCGTCGGAGGTCTCGGTAGGGCGGCATGGACTGGGCGCCAGCATGCGCACCTTCCAAACACCTTGTCTTCGTCGTCGTCGCCGTCGTCACCAGGCCGCCGCTCCTCTTCCTCCGCCTCTTCCTCCTCAGAGCCTCGGGGCTGAGGGCTATGTGGGGACGAATCCGCGAAGCTCGTTTCTCCTCCTCTCTCTAGGTCCTGCCCCATCCTTCTCCTCCTCCTCCTCCTCCTCCTCCTCCTCCTCCTCCTCCTCCCTTCTTTGTCCTCTTTCTCCTCTCTCCTCCATCTAGGTCCTCCTCCCCCCTGCTTCTACTCTCTCCCTCAGGTCCTCCCCCTCCTCTCTCCTCCCTTTGGGTCCTCCTCCTCTTCCTCGTCCTCCTCCTCCTCGTCCTCCTCCTCCTCCTCCTTTTCCTCCTCCCTCTAGGTCCTCCTGCTGCTGCTCCCCCTCCCCCTGCCCTCCTCTCCTTTCCCTCCTCCTCATCTTCCGCCTCCTCCTCCATCCTCCTCCTCCTCCTTCTCCTCACCCTACGTCTGTCGTCCGCCTCCTCCTCCTCCTCCTCCTCCTCCTCCTCCTCCTCCCCTTCCACCCGGGTCCTCCTCCTCCTCCTGCTGCTACCCCTCCTCGCGGCCCCGGCACCTGCACGCGCACCCTGCCCCCGTCCCCAGCGAGCATCACCGCCTGGCGGCGCCGCGGCCGCGGGCGCGGCGGCGCTCCCCGGGCGGGACCGCGCTCCCCCTGCTCGCTCCTGCTCGAACCCCATCCTCCTCTTCCTCCTGCTCCTGCTCCTGCTCCTCCTCCTCCTCCTCCTCCTCCTGCCCATCCTCGCTCCTGCTCGAGCCCCCTCTTTTCCTCCTCCTCCTCCTCCTCCTCCTCCATTTCCTCCTCCTCCTCCTCCTCCTCCTCCTCCTCCTCCTCCTCCTCCTCTCGATGATCCAACTGCCGAGGGCGAGCCTGTGAACGGCCACCTCCTTACCAGCGGCATCACCTCTCCTGTCTCTAAGGTCGGTAAGAGGGCGCCTGAAGTCGTCTGTCGCCGCCCTGAGGGCGTCATTGAGGAAATATCCCGCGATCAGGTGGGGAGCAAGGAGGCCCCAGGACTCTACAGGACAGGCAGGACGAGTACGATCTATGATATGGGGTACGCGCCTCCCATACCTAGGACAGAGCCAGTAGTGCAGAAAGGAGTCCTGACAGGGTCGACCACCAATCACGGCGCCACGAGGACATTCGAAAAGGCACGGGCTAGGAAGGGGGTCGGGAAACCTGGGAGAGTCGCGCAACAGCCCGTGAGCACCTACAGGCAGGCATTTGCATGGACAGGGGAGCACCTGCTTAGGGCATTCCTTCTAGGTCTCCCTTGTTCTCCTCCTCATCATCGCCCTCCTTCTCCTCGCCCGCTTCTGCTCGATCCTCCTCCTCGTCCTGTTTCTCCTCACCCTCCTCGCTCCTCGCTCCTCGATCATTCCTGCTCTTCCTCCAGCCTCTCGAAGCGATCCATCGATCACCGCTGGCGGGTTCAGTCGGTTCCACCCTGCTCAATCGGGTCGATCGCCTGTGTTGCCTGGCGCACGATATTCATCGCCAACATGTCAGTGCCCCCGTAAGGCAGGGGGGGTCTAGTCTGGGCCAGCCTGTTGGCGCCATGGTCCAAACGTCAACTCTGTGGCCTACCCGGGGGGGGGGGAGGACGTGGGAGGATAGATTTGTTTCTGCCATAGCCCCCGCAGTTGCTGCGGATAAGAGTGAGGATCGGGGTCGTCGGCAGAGCGCGAGTCTCGAACTAGAAATGTGAAGAAGCCCGCCGCAGGCGCCGCACAACAAGCCCGCCGCAGGCGCCGATTTCTCGTCACAGCAATTGAGGTGGGGCGCGGGAGGGCCGAGGGTGGGTCTCAAGTGGGTTGCGGGTGGGCCGCGGGCGGGTCGCGGGTGGGTCGCGGGCGGGTCGCGGATGGGTCACGCTTGGGTCGCGGGTGGGTCGCGGATGGGTCGCGGGACGGTCGCGGGTGGGTCGAACCCAGGGGCGGTGTGTAAGATCACTCGGCCCCCTGACTCTTACTACCTCGCTATATATACATATGATATGAGAAAACACACACAGGGACAATGAATTCGGCCCCCTCGCTCTGATTATACATATATATATGTTAAGGAAAGAACTGCTTACCTAAGACCTGCCGTCGCCACCCCCCAGGACAACCCCGGCCAACCCTTCCAAGTAACGCAAGGCACGCTGGAAGCGTCCAGTCACGCTCGGACTGAGCTTCCTGGCATCACCGCGTGCGAGCGGGCCCGCGTGTAATGAACCTCTTGGCAAACATGCTGGTCAAGCGATGTGCGCCATAAGCAAGCCGGCACGCTCGAGAAACGAACCCCGCCGCCAACGCGATGTGGGTGCCTGCTAACGGGCACGACAGGAGAGCGCTTCCTGGCACCAACGCCGGCAGCGTGAAGATCAGCAGATGCGAGCGGGTACGCCTGGAGTGAGCTTGTCAACATCGCTGGCGAGAGCGCTGGCCATGCGAGGTGCACCGTGAGCGAGTCAACGCGCTGAGAACGGTTTTCCTTCCGACAGCGCTGGCCATACGGTGTGCGGTGCCCGCGAAGCGGCACGTTTGGAGCGCATTGGCATCGGCACTGGCAGCGTGCGCGATGAGCATCAGGTGCGAGCGGGCCCGTCTGGAGTCAGCTCCTCAGCAGTGCCTCTGGCGGACGTGAAACCCTGGCCATA